TGCGGCGGGGCACAGGACTGACATGAGAACTACATTAAAATAATTTATTTTAACGCATTTTTTGTCATAACCCGATGGGGAAAAAACTCATTTCCTTTAATGATTCCATCTGGTATACGCACGACGCTCTTAGTGAGCTCGACCAGGACCAGGACCAAAATGCGCAGTCCTGCTGCCACGCACATGGTTATTTCATTAAAATTGCCTTTTGTTGTTTGTGAATGTTGCTTATTATTAACGCCGTGCCATATCATCCGTATCTGTATCTGTATCTGTATCTGTATCTGAGATCTGTGAGCGTATCTGTATCCGAATCCCGCATATCTGGCGGCTGCAGTTTTATGGAACCAGAAGACACGACATTTGCATTACTGGCCAGCAGCGACGACCTGCAGCTTAATAAAGACAAATTGACTTTCTGGCCATAACTGCGGTGGCTGCTGCAAAAGGGGGCATGACCCCGCCAGCTGATTGGCAATTACGAGGGCTTGACAAAACGCGATAAACGAATTAACATTTAAATTAATATAATATATATGTATATCCCCCGAAAAGCTGGCCCTTCTCCTCCTGCATTTATTGTGAGCGGCGACAAATTTGAACCCAACATGTCGGACGCAGAATGACGGCCTTCACAAGTTGCACTCCAAATTTATGCAAATGAAGTCTGTAGTGCGCGCGGCTGGGTGGGTGTGTCCTTAGTTGTCGGCGACAGTCGTTGCATCTAATTAGACCAAGTAAATTACAAGACAAAAAGGAGAGACCAGGGAGCCCGAAAGCTCTGGACTGCAATGCAGTAAATTGAATAAGCCACTGAAGTGGATTACATTCAGAAGGAGGGGATAATGGGATAAGACCACCTACCCCCTTGAGGCGGTTTAATCCCTAAGAAATCTGTACTAGCACCAGCAAGCTAAGAACGCCTTATCCCCAGGGTTTTGATGGGAGAACCCCTCAGATTAATGTAGAATGCTTTCCTAACCCAAATGCAGCTCAAAAGCAGGATTGGGAGATTAGTAATATAAAAATATTGAAGAAAAGACCTCATAACATATTGTTCTGAAAACACAGATATTTCTTATTAATTAGTCTTGTATAAAACTAAGCCTGTGCAACAGTGGCTTTTAAATATTTATACTTTTTGTTGTGTTAGGTTTATCAGGCATGCTGTCGATTTACTTTTTGCTGATTTCTCAACAAATTAAGTGCAAAGAAATTGGGCCTCTGGGCATCTTAATGCCTGTAATGATGATTGCTAGACAAACGTCACACCAGGGCGGAATTAGCTACCCGCAACGATGATTGGGTCCATGGCCGTATGCACAGCAGCCACATTGCGCATACGCCCCCGTGGCCGGTGAATGGAGGGCTGGACTAACGAGGCACCAGAGAATCGGCATATAGTTTGCCGTAAATTTTGCTAGCAAACGCTTAAAGTCAGCCTGGTCCTACTCATCGACGTGCCGTTTGGACCCGATGTTAATTGGGTTTGCTGCATTCGGGCTTAATCCAGAGAGGCAGCAATTTATTTACGCGCCATTAAAAATGCACATAACAAGCAAATTGCATTTTTGCCATACACTCGGCGGCCAGATCGAGCTCTTAAGTAAATTACAATAAATTTGGCGCAAAACTTGCATATGAAATGTGCAATGTTCGCGTTACAAAAGCCACTCGCTGTCGGCAATAATATAATTAAAAATTAAATGGCAAATTAATTGGTGAAAAATATCAAAAAGACTTTCTACGCAAGCCGGCATTTGCGGCATTTAAAATGCCATTAATATTGCATCAACACCTGCAGTACAAGCGCTTAAATAAACATGCACAAAAAGCCCGCGCACTTTACATTAAAACATTTCTGGCCCCGAAAAAAACTATTGATGAATAATGAAGGCCCAACCCGGAAACAAAGCCAATGTGACCGCAGATACAGCTGCAGATACAGCTGCAACAGCAGCAGCAACAGCAGCAACAGCAACAGCAGCAACTGAAATCGCATTCCGGCAGCATCACTGGCAGCACATGCAACGCCAACAGCTGCTGCTGCTCGACTTGTAAGTGACACGACCCGAGTTCAACTCCGGCCATAAATCAGCGGCCAAACACTGTTTTTTTAATTCTACATAAGCACAAACAAATGGACAAGAGTCGTATTTATTGTTTTTGTTGGCCGGGAATGTAAAATAATTCATGAATTTATTCCCCAACGAGGTGATAAAGTACATTTAATGCGAAATGTTGAACGATTTCCATTGGAAGTCAAGCTAATCACCAGATAATCTAGCAATATTACACGACTATTTATTTTGTTTATTGAACTAATTGCAATATGTACAAATTGCTTTTAAAATATTAAGGACTTTTCCCTTCACATTTAAAGTCTTGAACAAACTACTTTCCTCTCGAATTAATCTTTCTTGTAAAAATTCTATTGTTTGCGGTCTTCTTTTGTTTACCTTTCAGAAAGCTCCAACTTAATCCGCTTATAGTACTGAGGAACTCTATTATTTCATAGAACACCATTCCAGGTGTCCATTCTGTTGACTAAAGTGTGATATTATTAAGGCAGCTGCTGTGCCCTTTGTGGCCCTACAATTAGTCAAGATAATTAGGTGGCAAACGGCATTCAACGACGGAGTCCAACATGTGGCGTGGACCTATTTAAATGCAAAATAATTATATTCACGTCGCATGTATGTATGACTGCAGCAAGGGGCAGGACTGTTGCTTCCATCTCCCTGCCTGCGGTTTTTTATACTCTCATTTATTTCATAGTTGCCTCGACTGCCGTGTGTCTGCGGCAAGCGAAAAGTTTCAGGCATGTTAATAACACTCATAATTAAAAATTAAATGTTATAATTCTGTGTGTGCTGCCGTGCGGCTTATCCGTTTGCCAGAAAATTATTTCCCAGCTATGTGGCATCAGACAATTACTGACGATTCTGATTTTTCGCTCATTTTTTCATCCTTCATCCAACATACAAAAATGTTGCAAGACAACCTTCGATGAGCTAGAGCAATTATGAGATGTAAAGGCCATGTTTTGCCAAAATTTCCCATCAAGTCATGTCCATAAAAAAGCACAAAAAATTGAATATGAGTGAACCTTCATTTCGCCAAGAACAAGAGTTCTCCGAAGGACGATGTCGACAAGCACGCTGGCCAGGCAATAAAAGTTGGCAACTACTTTGCAAGTTTTCCCAGATGTTTTACGGTCGGGGAAACCGGTTAGGCAAGCCAGCCACTTAAAAACACAAATATCCAGAACATTTTCGCCCAGAAGTCAATGCCACAAAAAATATAACAAATATTACAATATCCTTCCGTGCAATCATTTCGCAACGCCAACAATGCGACTTAAAGGTCCAAGATGTATTTACTTTTTAAGGTTGAGCAGGACTTTTCCTTTATTTCATTTGTACCGAAAAAGCTATTTCTTTACGATTTAATACGATTTTGTACAAGCTACTGAACAAAATTTATTCATAACAAAATTTCAATTGATTTTAAAAAGTCGATTAAAAGGTGCTTTTTGCAAAGTCATTCCGCCGCGAAGGACCTTTAGATAATCAAGGTAAAACCAGAAAGCACTTGAAGGAGGTAGGGCTCACATGGCTTGAATTTCGTATTTTTATATTATAGAATAAAATATAACACAGGAAATTTTCAATATTCCATTTTTCACAGTGAACGCGATGACAAATGTAAGTGAGTTCGACTGGGAGCGATCCTTAAATTGTATTGCACGGCACGGCACTCTCAGCAGGATCCGCGTGCGATGCCAATTTGAATAATTATTGGCGCAGAGACAGAAAGTCAATCAGTGGGAATGCAGCGGGCAATTTAATACAATTGCGGGCCAAGGCGCTTATTCAATTAATTACTTGAAACAGTGCGTCAAAAAGCGGGCAAGTAATGCAGAAAAAGCCGAGTAATTATTTTACACTTTGCTGCCGTTGCCGTCGTGGCTCTCGATTTCCCCCCAGCTGCACTTCCCCCCATCTGTGATTTCCACAACTGCATTTTCCACGCCTGCATTTTGATGAAGTTTTTTTTCCGCGACAACACGGCGCAGTGGCACTTGCAGTTGCATCTGTCGCCGGTGCATAATAAAGTTTGCTTAAAGTTAAGTTTGTTAAATCCTTGCCGGGACCGGGGCCAAGGTAATGTGACCCAGTTTTCGGGGGCCCAGCAATTATCGGCATCTGATTAAATGAAATCAAAGTCGGCAGAAATCAAAGGCAATATAAATTCACATAAATTCGTCCCGGGCGCTTTAAATGTCAAGTGGCGCTCGTCCATCGATTTTTATGCCTCGCTGGCTGCTGGGGTCATTTATCAATATGTAGATTTCCCTGGCAGAGTTCAATGGGTCCCACGCATCTCCATACAGGCCGACACGGACCCCCGTATAAATTGCGTAATTTTTTTACCCTCACACACAATTGGAGATAAATTGACTGATATGCATGTTGTGGGCCGCCGTCGTCTGTCTGCCAAATTGATGTATGCGTCTGCCCGGCAAAGTGTCCTCCCGCCGAGCGCCGCCCCACTTTCACTTTTCCGCTCTTTGATTTTTTTTTCCTTAAATAAATCGACGCCCCAAGCCATTTCCGGTGACTGCACTAAAATGCCAGACAAGAGCGTAATGGCATCAATTTCCTGCAGCCGAAATTTAAATTTCGACAAGCTCCAAGATCCAAGGCAACGTCACATCCTTCTCCTCCTCTTATGGGTCCTATTATTAGGTTGAGTTTCACATAAACTTGTCTTGTCTTTGAACAAATAAATAAAAATCAAGCTCATGCAGATATTAAGTTAAATTGACCCGAAGTCTATACCTGTTCAAAGGTTTTGGGAATCGAGTTATGTAGTGACTTTAACATAAGCCTTAGTTAGGTCATTGGGTTTATGATCAATTAAATTAAGTATACATATTATTGATTTATAAATTAGTTTAAAATGTTCATGTAATAAGTAACCCGTTCGATTACCTTCCCTTTAGTAGTTTTCCTTTTATTATTCATTAGTCAGTTAATCGTTGCAGTCCTAATTGTTTATTGTAGCGTTCCTTTATTTCCTTGACACACTTTAGGTTTCTTAAGAGTGGCATTACCTTGAAAAGTCTGTGAATTTGCCATTTTATTAATTCTGCAAAAATGAAGGTGGACCTTACCATGAATGATCGCAACAACCTGCGATTTCAAGCACTTTACGGAGCACTTGTGCCCCAGATTGCCCGTCAGGTGCCCTTCACTGAGCCGGAGGTGTCCTGTCTCCTGTTGATCTACTACAAGTACAGCCTGCAGAATGGCCCCAGCTCACGACGGATAACAAACGTTCAGTTTGGAAAGATTGTTATCGGGTTTCAGCAGCTGTACGATATGGACGTGGTGGATCGCATCGTGACATTGATCACAGGCGATAGAAAATATGTCACACCCATGGAGTTTATCCAGTATATGACCATCGTAATGACTTGCGACATAGAGCGCAAAATGGATTTTGCATACATGGTAATTTAGTACTTTGATTTCTTTAAATTAAAACTATTATTACATTATTAAAATATTTATTCTTATTGGTACAGATCTATGATAAATTTGGCTTGGGTATTAATCGCGAGGTAATTTCCAATGCGGTGGAGAAATTCTTTCCCGGGGAAGATGACGAGGTACTCGAGATGCGATTGGTGAGCTGGGAACCCTGACATCTCTTCCCTAAGTATTGATTTTGTATGTTCTTCTCCCCATTTAGGACATGGTCGAATTTTTAATCCTCAAATTTGATGAAGACCAAGATGGTATCATCACATTTGATGAGTACAAATCGGTCGTGTTGCGACAGCCGCATCTGCTCGAGTTCCTGGGTCCCATTTTTCCCTCAAAAGAGATTCGACAGGTGATCGCCTATTGTTCCGCCTTATACTCTCACATTCCAGAGCTAATCACGATGTAGCTCTGGTATATGTAGAGTGTTTGGCGGTCTGCCAGAACGACTTCCTCGCCGCATAAATCTTTCAGGCACAAATAAATCGAAAGCAATGCAAATCAGTGCGCCCCGTCGCCGCGTTTCCCCATGTTCACCCATTGTAGCCACTCGAAAATGTCAATGACAATGATGATGAACTGCAAAATAGAGCGCTGACAGCTGCAACTAGACGCTGGATAGATGGATAGAAAGATGGCTGAATGGAAAGTATATAGAGGACCACAGCTGCCTCAGAGCCACACCAGAGAAAAAAGCGAATTTCATCCTCACTAACCCATAATAGTTAGATGATGAAGTGAAATGCATACTTACAAATGTCTAAAAAATAAATCAATTTAAAATCAAAAAAATATATATAATGAATTAATATTTCTTATATTATTAAACTGAGTAAATTTTTACCCAAGTGCAGTAGTGACTACTTCACGGGCATAATTTTAAATATGGAGCACAGCAGCTCCAGAAATACTTTGCTCTGGTTGAACGCTTCACTGGCTCGTCGACTGCCTTTTGCCATTGCCCCATGACAGCTTGATTTGTTGGCAGTTGGCATACAATTGACATTTGATGGATGGTGTTCTACATTGTCGGGACATTCTGCATTCTAGGATTCCGCATTCTGACTGCAGTCGTCCCTTGAAGTCTTCCCCATCAAACTGCAGCGAGACAAAGACCCCATTTCAAGCCCTACTCTTTAGTTTAAATAGATAATTTAAGGCGCCCATAGTAAAGAAAGCGAATGGTACATATATTTATAAACTGGGACATATTTCGTTAGCTATATATATATTTTTTTATGTATTTTAGATAGTGTCTTACACACTTGCTATTCTAATTGTTCCGGATTTAGTTAAAGTAAAGTAAAAACATATCGTTCAAAAAGCAGCTGCATAAAAACTCGAAGGTGTTATACGTTTTTTCAAATAAATTAAAATAACTAGTTTTTTTCAAATCAAAAATAAATCTAGATACATTGAGAATAACTTCAAAGCATTTGCCACTGTTGGTCAGGTATTGTAGAGCTCGCTTTCAAGTAAACTATTACAGACTGGTTTCGTTCAAATGTACATATTTTTAGAGAGTGAAAATCTTCCGGAAATGCATGACGAAGAAGCTACCGCCCTGGTCGTGGATAATGGATCCGGTATGTGTAAGGCCGGTTTTGCCGGCGATGATGCACCCCGTGCTGTGTATCCATCGATTGTAGGTCGTCCCCGTCACCAGGGCGTTATGGTGGGCATGGGCCAAAAGGACTCGTATGTGGGCGATGAGGCCCAGAGCAAGCGTGGCATCCTAACGCTGAAATATCCCATCGAGCACGGCATCATCACCAACTGGGACGACATGGAGAAGATCTGGCATCACACATTCTACAATGAGTTGCGCGTCACACCCGAGGAGCATCCCATTCTGCTGACCGAGGCCCCGCTCAACCCGAAGGCCAATCGCGAGAAGATGACCCAGATAATGTTCGAGACCTTCAATGCCCCGGCAATGTATGTGTCCATTCAGGCGGTTCTTTCGCTGTATGCCTCTGGTCGTACCACCGGCATCGTTCTGGACTCTGGCGATGGTGTCACACACACCGTGCCCATCTATGAGGGTTATGCCCTGCCACATGCCATCCTTCGTATGGATCTAGCTGGCCGCGATCTCACCGATTATTTGATGAAGATCCTGACTGAGCGAGGTTATGCCTTCACCACCACCGCTGAACGTGAAATTGTGCGCGATATGAAGGAGAAACTGTGCTATGTGGCCTTGGACTTCGAGCAGGAGATGGCCACCGCAGCCTCCAGCTCCTCCCTAGAGATGTCTTTCGAACTGCCCGATGGACAGGTAATCACCATCGGCAATGAGAGATTCCGGTGCCCCGAGACCCTCTTCCAGCCATCCTTCTTGGGCATGGAAGCCCAAGGTATACACGAAACGACATATAATTCGATAATGAAGTGCGATGTGGACATACGCAAGGATCTGTACGCCAATGTAGTCCTATCGGGCGGCTCTACCATGTACCCGGGCATTGCTGACCGCATGCAGAAGGAGATCACTGCCCTGGCCCCATCCACCATGAAGATCAAGATTGCTGCTCCGCCAGAACGCAAATATTCTGTGTGGATCGGTGGTTCTATTCTGGCCTCGCTGGCCACTTTCCAGCAAATGTGGATTTCGAAGCAGGAGTATGATGAATCTGGCCCAGCCATTGTCCACCGAAAGTGTTTCTAAGTGGAAGGCATCATTCGCGCTCCTGCCGAGACCATTCCATATCAAAATTCTATTTTGCAAATCAGTTACTACGCATGCATTAAAATTATTCATATATTTAGTTGTCAAATAAAATGATTATATTCACTTGCAATATATAAGAAAAAGGTATTCTTATTAGTCCGTATATATTCCATAACTATGTTGTTAAATGTATTAAAATTGGTTCTAAGCCCACATTAGAAAATTAGTTATAAACTTAAGTTAATTGTTTCAACTATTTCAGCCTAGATTTAGTCGTTATTATTTACTACTTAAAAGTAAATGAATTCATAATTTCTTATTAATTTAATTTTAAAATATTGCTAGGAGTAAAGAGACCTTAGATCCGTTTCAATTATAAAATACCTTATTTACCCGGTTGCTATTTATGTCTGATTTCATACAGAAAACAGGAAAAGTAGAAAGAAACTTTTGTGTACAGCCAAGTTTCTCTCTGCCTAAATAAAAAATGAGACAAAGTCTGCCAGCTGACGAGTGCCAAAGGACATGGCAGGGATTCGACTTTATAGTCGTGGAATGGGAATCCAAGTGTACGAGTATAAATAAAACAGGCCGCAGTTTTTCCACTATTTCCACGTTCATCTCGGCCATATTTTACGTGAGTTGTGGTCGAGGAATTTCGGGGGAAGGAGGGAGGGAAAAAAACTTTTCGGCGTTATGAAAACTCTTGAAGATTTCGGAGCCAACGAAACTTTTGTATTCTCGCATATATTATTTGAAGAACACACAGAGATATACAGAAACGTCGTCTCTGCCCGTATTTGCTGAGATTAATTAACAAATCTGGAGATGGCATGCCGGTTCGACTCCTCAAAAACACAAGGCTAATGGCTAGAAAAGTGAACGCATTTGCATAGCAAGAAAGTCAGGACAAGTAACGAGCCAGTGAAACATGAAACAAAATGTAAACAAACAAAGGATCCTGGAACACAGGAGTTTCGTCGTCAAAACTCGAAAGAAACAAGGCCATGTTGAATTTTGAGAAAATTCCAGCATTCGGTTTTTTATACCCTCACTTGTCGAGTCTCGATTTAAAAGATCATTTTATCGAAGCCTTGAATAATATTACTGAATATATGTTTAAAATATTACAAATATTTTTAAGATTTCAACAATTTCATGAGGTTTTTATCTCCGTTTTTATATTCCAGAAAGAAATGTTTGACTCCTTGGCCGGCTAAGCCTCTTGCATTTGTAATTATTTATGCAAAAATTGTTGCCCAACAAACTTAATTTAGTTAAATGTTTGACTTTAGGCAGGCGCTTGTTGATTAACCGACTGGAACGAGTGCCGAGTGGCCCCCGCCACGCCCCCGGGTATGCAAATAACAATAAGGCGGGGGCGGGGGGCGGGGCTCACCTTCAGTAACATCGCACTCCTTAATCCCCACTCCTCACTTTTCCACCCTTCAGTCCATGCAATCCCCTCTACTTGAATGTTGTTCTTGGGTGTTTGAGTTTGGCACTCGTACTTGCGTGTAAACACGCATGATTAAGCTACAGGCACAAATTAGCATAAGGCAGGCACAAAACTCAAGGAATGTGACTTTGAAGGACCCTCGAGTTAGCTTTTATTGCTTACAATTTTCAACTTTCTGTGAAAGGGTAAAGGAAACACTTTATTAAGCCTTCAAAGGTATCAGGAAAATTTGTGTAAAATTTTGTAATTAATAAAAATATTATTCTCTCTATTTTATTTAGTACAAAACATGCTAGAAATTCTGTTGCTCTGAATAAATAAATGACATGATGGCGAATTTCAGTTCAGTGCGGCATGGCTTATTGAATTTAACTAGAATTCCGTGGCTAAACAAATTCCAGCTACAGTCAGGTGCATCGATATATATGTACATATATCGATCCGGACTCAGATCCTGGTTCAGAAGAAGAGAAGCGAAGCGTGGCGGAGAATGCATCATGATGAAGACGATGATGACGCCAAAATACATCGCAGAAAGAGTCGAAACCGGCAGCGACAGCGACTGCACTCAGCGCATTGCATTGCAAAGTGAACTCCACTTACATGGAGTAAATAAATAAAAAGGATGCCCGAACAGAGCTCACAATTTATGGATGCACTTGCCGGCGCAAAGGACAATGGCGGCAAAAGCGGAAAACAGGAAAAGCGGAAGAGCGAAAAGAATGGGGTAAGAGCAAGAGCTTCAAGCGTGCCAAACGTGGCCAAATGTAAAATAATACGTGACAATAATGCTGCCAATGGCCATGTTGATTAGGCTGCTTTATTTATGGCCGACAGCTGATCCTGATCCGCTTCGCCTTCGGGTTAAATTCCAAAGGCAAATGCGGCTACTTATTTGTTTCCCAGGAATGGCCAATCTATGGTAAATTCATTGAGTTGCCGCAATCCAGGGTTGATCTGCAGCTTTTGTGGCCCAACTTGCTCTTTGGGCCTAATGAACCGAGCAAGCAATGTGTGTTTGTCTGTGTTTTGGCCAGGTAAATATTATTTGATGCTGTGTCGAAAGCCATTTCCAGGTGGTATGTGTTTATGCATAAAATATTTACAAAGTTTCGTGTCTCCGTGTGGCTTTCGCCGAGTCCAATTTGCCCAAATGCAGAAGTAACATTTGAGGCCGGCCTTGTGTGTGGCAATTCTTTTTGCCCCTCTTATTATTCCAAGTTTATTTAGGAGCCACTGGAGGAGTGTGGAGTGGAATGAAAACCCACATCAAAGCATAGCACGTGGCACGCATGAGTGGCAATGGCAAAAAGCACACCACCAGCACGAGAAGCTGGAGTAGAAGCAGGAGCCGGAGCAGGAGCAGAAGCTGTAGGAGCAACAAAAGCCAAGGCAGCCCCAATTGCATTGCCATTGCCCCGAGTTGACCACAAAACATGCGCCCGGCTACGAAAACCAAGCCAAGCCAACACGAGCCTGGCCAAAAAAGAAAACACGGCAAACGAATCAAGGGAAAAAGTAAAGCAAAACCCAAAAACCAACTACACTTTAAATAAATTACATAAAACAGATATTCATAAAAGTAGGTTCCCGTAAGACCGTTTCTTAGTTTAATAAATTTTTTTAAATCAATAATAGTGTTTGAATATAAATAAAATAATAAAGACTTTACCATATTTTATCTAAAAAATTCTGGCCATAAATAAAGTCAGGTAAAAAGTTTATCGGGTTATGGAATCTTTTATAATTAAGTATTTTTCCAAAAGATTTTAAAAGACACTAACGCATATTGCATGTATTTTTATTGCAAGGATCTGGTCAGCTTTTTTTCTTTTCTTCTCGAATTGTCTACGAATTTGCATCAGCAAAATTTTTCGAAAACTCTTTTTGCTAAAAAATCGCAAATATGGTTCGAATGAACGTTTTGGCCATCGCCTTGAAGTGCATCTCCAATGCCGAAAAACGTGGTAAACGCCAGGTCCTGCTACGTCCCTGCTCTAAGGTGATTATCCGTTTCCTGACCGTGATGATGAAACACGGCTACATTGAAGAGTTCGAGATCGTGGACGACCATCGCTCAGGAAAAATCGTGGTCTACCTCACCGGACGCCTGAACAAGTGCGGCGTCATCTCGCCAAGATTCGATGTGCCCATCAACGACATCGAGAAGTGGACCAACGCATTGCTCCCTTCGCGTCAATTTGGCTACATCGTGCTCACCACCTCGAGCGGCATCATGGACCATGAGGAGGCCAGAAAGAAGCATGTGGGCGGCAAGATCCTCGGGTTCTTCTTCTAGGATCACGAAGAGTCAAAATATACCAAAAGGAAGTCACAAATAATTCCAAGGAAACTGACAACAAAATCCAAGGAACTCAGATTCACTTCCTCGCTAAATAAAATGTTCAATCAATTTCCCTTTTTGTTTCCCTCAGTGTTGCGGCAACAGCAGTAAGAGAGCGGTAAATCAACTGCTGACCAGTGTACGGCTGCAGTTACGTATGTGAATTTGTAATCTAAACTTTTATACTCGTTGACTCGTTGGCTCGTTTTTCCATCAGCGGCGAACAGGAAACGGAAATTGCTGCTGTTGGCCCGTTGACAAAAACACGACACTTGCACCTCAAGTTGCCAGGAACTTTCAACTTGATTTTCACAGCAATAGCAATAGCAACAGCAACGGTGGCCAGGAGGACATTATGCGACTGGCAATTGCTTACGGTTTTGTTGCTTTGTCGTCCTGTTGACGGGAAAACTGAATGTGTCCATGATTGCGATTGCAGGCGGGCGATCGTGTTGTTCCTGTTCCTGTTTTTGTGGCCATGTGTCTATCGGTCCATTGATTAAGCGTGGCCAGGTGGCCGGGTGGCCGTGTGGCCTGGATATGGCCCTTTCTCCACTCTCTTTTGGCCACGCTCACTCAATCAAAGCAAACTAAAAGTTTGCGCTACGGGTTTAACCTCAGTTTGCATTCTTTATGAGTGTTTCTGCTCCTGTTTTTTGCGGCATGCACTTTAAAAATACTAGGGTTGTATTATATAATATACATAAATTTTTAACGAATCTACTTCTAATCATAAATATCTGTGATCAAATTCCTTTTATTTTGCATTTGACTACAGCACTTTGATTAATATTTTAAATATTTTGTTTGTTGTCTTCAGAATTTTTTTGTATCTGCCTGGCTCTTAGCTCTTTCTGCTCTCCATTTTTTGTGCTACCTTTGAATGCTTAATGCAAATTGATTTACCCGCTTCTGTTTTACCTTTTTCACCTATACAACTTTTACTTAAACGAATTTGCAACGGCTTTAAGTTGCAATTAAGCCCGCTGAGCGGAGCGTGGAACTTGTTAACTGATTTTACCGACCGCCTTGCTCGTTGCCAGTTGGCTGCACATTTGCGACGGCACACGAAAATTTTTAACTTAAATTACTTTTCGTAATAACTTTATTTTGTAATTTACGTAAGTAGAAGTAACATTTATGCAGCTGCATAAACCGCCAACGAAAGTAGCTGACAAACTATGACGGTGCACGTAAAAAACTTCGTGCCGAGGAGTCTTTGCGAATTTGTGCAAAAATTTGCCAGGAGGGAAAAGGAGCACCATAATCGAGGAGCTGCAAAAGGAGAACGGCATAAATGGGTGGTTCTTGTGGGGGGTGGGTCGCCTTTCGTTCGGCCTTGCCCCCCCCCCCAGTAGTTGATGTCACTCAGTTAGATAATTTGCTTACGGAAATGGAGCCGGCTCTTTGATGGTTTCCTACGATCTTTGGGAATCTATAGGCGAGTTAACCTGTTCCGGGAATGAGTGGTAATCCCTCCTGCTCGGAATTCCGGTGGCATTGTAAATTTTTAATACGGCACTTGGCCGAAGGGAAAATGAGGAAACTCGGGCACGTTGTTTTTCTTTCGCTTGCGTAATGAGGAAAACTTTTCCTCGCTACATGCAATTTGGTCTTGTTCCCAGGTCTCAGCTCTTAGCTCTCAGTTGGCAGTTCTCTGATGTCTTTGCCGGTTGGTTGGTCGGTCGCTCGGTCTACTTGTCCTTGCAAAATGCCATTTGCATTTGCCAAAAGCACAGCCATAACGGCGAGAAGAAAGCAACACACTTACCTCAATAGTCAAACAAAGCGGCGCAAAAGTGCGGCATACTTTGTGGCGCTTGGCATGCCGAGCATGTGCCCCCCATTCGGTCCACCGTCTGACATACAAATCATTTTGCCGAGTGCCGAATGTCGAGTGGGGAACAGTAATGTAACCACAACGAGAGCACTGCAAAAAAGTCCCTTCTAAATTCAAAGTTTCATCCTTGAAATTGTAATCAAGGAAGGAGGTTCGGAGATATGGTTCCGAGATCAAGTATTTCTTTGAAAAAAAAAAGAACTAAATGGCTCAGACAGAAATGTAATATTTGTAGTTTATGTATTGATACATGCTTGTTGAATTATTAACTTTATTATATATAAAGCTTGTTGCGTTATCCTCGATCATCCAAGTTTTAAACTCTACTCTGTCATCTTTGTCTATTTTTCGTTGGCTTTAATTGTTTCTTTACACGTTGTAAACGCTCGTTTTCCTGCAGCTTGACAAGATTCATGTCACATTTACATTTTAATTACTCCGACCACCGGCTTAGGGAACAGATTCTTTTTTCCCGGCAATCGCTTTGAAAACCAATCAATAAATCAGAGACACTAGCACGGGTCTTATCAATCAAAAGCGTGCCCGTATGTAGGATTCTAAGATCCCAAGTGTGGGCAACAATTATGCGGACCGGCGGAGAGCGGCTCAAGAGGCACTCAGCCTGGCTGAAGGACTCAAACGAGCAGGAGCAAGAGCTGGAGCAGTGCCACAAGCAGGAGCAGGATCCAGAAATGCCGAGGCAGACCTCCAGCTGGCAAAACCAAACAAAGGGCTGCAACAAATGGCAAAGGGAATCAGCGGCAAAAGCGTAACCAGAGTGAAAAGTGTAAAATGCAAAATCTCATTGATGATTGAATGCAGCAGGATGAAGCAGGATCCTCGGCACTTTTTTTTGCGCCGCTTTGTCTCAGTCTCAATAACGAAATGCAAATACGGCAAAAAGCGAAAGCAAACACACAAATACGCATGAGGAGGAATGCCAGGATGGTCGCAGGATGGAGGATGGAGGATGGAGTATGGCTGGAGGAGAGTGAAAAAGTGCCAGGACCAAAGGCAAATCGGAATGGCACAGAGGCGAAGCAGAAAGCTGCCAAGTGCCCGGCAAGAGAAGCTGGCAAAAAAAGCGGGCTACAAATTGTGACAATAAACCCGGAATCTATAGATGCCCTAACCAAGTCGGATTTAAGATTGAAATGAAGTTGAACTTTGGCCTTAAAATTGGTTGTTTCTAGGAAAATTAAATAAAATATTTATAAATATTTTTTATACTGAGTTGGAACACTTTCTTTTAATAATGTTTCCTAAGGATATGTGATATGAGTTTAGTTAGTTCTTGAGGTTCCATCGTAGCTTTATTATATTATAAGAATAAATCAATAAAATGGTAAGATTTATGCAAAATAATTTACATTTGCCTTGAATGTTCTGTAGATATATTTACAACAATAAATATTTAATATATAATTTAGCTCTAAAAGTCTCATATCATTCTATAAAGATAAGCAGCTTTTGACCCTGCAGTCTTAAATAAATATTAATTAAACAAAGAACCTTTCATAGAGCACCTGAAAATTGTACTGGAATTAATCACCAACAAAGTAAACCCTCAATTAATTAAATTTTAATACAAATATATGATACTAAACACCTCTTCCCATAGTCTTGTATACACCGTCTGCTGCTGCAACTGGAGGTGCGAAATAAAAGGAGAGCATAACTTTCCATTGGACCAAGACCAAGTTCATAACCATGCCAAGGGACCTTGATCCCTAGGGTAAATAAAATAAAAACACTGCAAAAAAAGACAGAGTGCGATGGTTGTGGGGCATGAGAGGAAAGAGAGAGCACTATGCTGGGGCAAAGAAAATGGCGTTAGCTGCAGCGCATAGAATTGCAAATTCAATTTCAATTCCATTGAGCATGTGTTTGCAACGGCACATCCATATGCTCCTCAATTTCCATCTGGGGGATGCTGGGGCTCTACTTGTGTGTGCGTATGGGTGATGTATCGAGTGTGTGTGTGTGAGTGTGAGGGGGAGAAGAGATGGCATTGTTGCTCCGCTTGTTGCATTGTTGCATTGTCACTTAGGGGCCGAAAGCGATACGGCAGCTACATCGGCTTTGTCAATAATCAAACTCGATTTAAATCGAGCTTCTCGCATTGCAACACACACGCACGAAATGCACCAAAAATAATTCCCACGATTCGGTGGGAGATTCGATGATTTTTATTAAATTACACGCTATGTAAATAATCCACATGGCTTTCGCGGCGGCGTCTGTCATTAGTTCGCCGACAATTAATGCCAATCGAAGCTCATTAAAATTCAAATCCCCTCCCAGACCCGATGCCATTATAAACATTTTGCGCCAAATGTTAATTAGATTTGAATTTCGAATATTTTGCCAGCTTCAACCGAAAGCAAATAAAGCGCGAAAATGAAAACAATGGCCGGACGATGGACGCTTGCATAAAATGCAAACACAAATCGGCAAATATTATTTTTATGTGCTTCTAATGATAATGATTTTTCGCCGAGCCATCAAAAATGACAGCCCCGAAAATCGGAATGGAATGGGAATGCGCGGGGCTTAGCTGGCGTAATATGGCATAATCAAATTAAAATGAACAAAAACTCTCATGATTGCAAATTAAATGTGGAGACTGGGACTCGCAATTGAAACTGGCATCGATTCCCTGGCTTATACATATTGATTTAAGGGTGGGAATATTTATTAGCTGTTAAGCAAAACGGATGAAAAGAGAAAAATGGCAAAGCTCGGATCCTCGGCGCACTCCTGATTGCCAGCCGAGCCAAAAACGGATCAAAAGTTAAATTCCTGTTTGACTTTTCATTCGAAAAATTGGATTTTGCATTTAGCAAAAAACTTTCAACGCAGCCAACCAGCCACCAGACAGCCAGCCAGCAGCGGGGATAAGCCGCTCACAGAATGCAAGCCAATGCAATGCTCGACGAAATGGGGGAAAAAAGTTTTTTAGTTCTACAACTAATTTATCAAATTCCAGAGATTTGTTTCGGACTCTCTGTTTGAGTTGGGCTTCGACTTGGCTTACTGATTCCGGGCCGCAACAGAGGCCTCAACAATGGCCATAATAATTTCAATTATTTAAGTGGCAGCAACGGGAATAAGCCCGCTAAATGCATAAACAAATCCGGTTGT